GATTGTGTATTTATAAGCATGACCTCTACTGAAGATGCTTCTCTGCTGTTGTCATAAACAACAAAAGATGAGTTTTCAGAAACCAAAAATTTGTGGGTTCTGCCGTAATGTTTTGCTCTGTTCCCTTATGTTCTCACTGGCCTTAGTCTGATTTCAGAGCTGCTTTTTTTTTTTTTAAGGTTTTATTTATTTTTTTATTAGTAGTACATTTTTTAGGAGGTGGAGAGGGGCGGAGGGCGAGGGACAGAGAGAATCTTAAGCAGGCTCCACACCGAGCCTGGAGCCTGATGTGGGGCTCAATCTCACGCCCCTGAGATCATGACCTGAGCCGAAATCAAGAGTTGGACGCTTAACCAACTGACTGAGCCATCCAGGCGTCCCTTAAGATTTCATTTTTAAGTAATCTCTACACCCAGCATGGGGCTCGGACTGAGAACCCTGAGATCCAGGGGCGTGCTCCGCTGACTGAGCCAGCCAGGTGCCCCTCAGAGCTGCTCTACCCAGCATTAGACATTCACATGTTTGTTCAGGGAATAAATGGCTTCTTTCCCATGACGTTGCACTCACTCCAGGGTCTCCTCTTCTGATTCATTCTTCCCTGTGGCACAGGAACCAGAGACCTCTGGCCTGGCACCTAAGAACCCGCCAGGACGTGCCCTTCCACCTGCCTTTGAGCCCACTGAACACACTGCCCGCCCTTCTTATACATTCATTCATCCCGTGTCTGCCTGCACGCCCACTCCCTCTGCCTCAGGTGGCTGCAGTCCTGTCTGTCCTTGGCTGGTGATCCCAGTGCACACGCTTACCCAAGAAGCTCCGCCGGATCTCCCCTCCTCCCTGCCCCCGGGCAAGAAGTCCTCCTCCGAACTCTCCTGGCACACTGCGTCTCCGCTTACCTCTGCACCTCCGGCTTCCGTGTGTAGGGCTGGTCTTCCCCCAGCGCTTCGCAGCTTCTTCTGGGGCAGTGGCCGTCTCCGGTCCCTGCGTCCCTACCCCACACAGCAAGATGCCACACACGAGAACTTAGGACCGTTGGTAACCTCAGGTCTTCCCTGGCGCAGACTTTTTCACTGTGTGTCTTTAGTAAGTGTCTCAGGCACTTCGGTCTGTTGTGTCATTGAGCAAGCAGAACTTCCCGTGTTCTGTTCTCGTCTGTTCTGGAGGTAAGAGAGTGAAACTGTTGTGGAATGGTAAAAAGGCTGAGAACGGAAGGACAAAGACCCATAGCCTCGTGTGTAGGTTGGGTGGTCAGAGAAGCCGAAGCCAGGATGGGATTCGAAGTACAAGAGACTGGGGAAGCACCTGCAGGGGGGCGTGGGGCGGAGAGCCGTCAGGTGCCTGTGGAGGAGAGACAGAAGTCTCACACAGCACCGCAGTGCTAAGAAAGTTCCAGCAGAGCCACTGAGGAGCCACAGTTGTCTGTCACAGTACCTGGTCTGCCCCTCCCGTGCTGGGTCATGGACGGGGACGCGCCGCCCGCCGTGGGAGAAGCACGTTTTCCTGAGGGCCTTCCACAGAGGCAGTGCAGCGAAGAGGGGCGGGCAGGGTCTGCAGCCAGTCAGGCAGAGGGAAAAGATGCAGAAGGCCCTCCTTGTCCCTTTCCGTCTGTGCCCCTGCCGCGCCCCGTCAGCCCCGGTCCCTGAAGCACTGCGGCGTGCAGGCTGTCCTGGGACGCCTCCCGCGGCCGCCCAGCTCCTGCGGCCGTTTGGCCACTAGACTGAGCGCGTCGCAAAGGCCGAGAGCCAGCTTGACTCGGTAGCTCCCGCCGCGCCGCAGAGTAGGGGCCGCTCCGTGGGCGCAGTGCGGCGAGATGGCGTCGCGCCGGCCCTCCGTGCAGGGGGCGCCCCCGCCTCGGTCGCCAGCCGCAGCGGCCCCTCGATCAGAGGCCCCTCGAACAGAGGCTCATGCGGGGCGGCGCTGCTCCCTCCAGCAGCGCAAGGTAAAGACCGCTTGAGATTCAGTCTCACTTGGCTCACTCCGAAGAGCCAAGGCTTGTGCCATCAGTGACATTTTATTCGGTCTTCCCCGTCCTCACCCCCAGGACAGACTGCCAGGGCTCTGGGTCACTCCCACTTGCTGGAGGACGCCGCCTCCTCTCTGTGCTTGGTGTGGCCCCTCCCTGGGCGGCCGCCACCCATGTGCAGGGATGGGCTGCGCCCCTTCAGCTTAGGCTTGGGAAGCCTGCCTGCAGAATGGTCAGCCTGGGTTCTGGGAGCTTCCTCAGAATATGGTGAGCTTCTGGGAGCTAAATCTTAGACTGAGACCAAAAGTTCTTTCCATGAATTATTGGGAAAGGCCTTGACATGTAAAGGCCGTGTGTCTATAAGTTCTTTACCGGGGCTTTCCTTCAAGGTGGGAGACCTCAGAGGGATAAAGCTGCTACACGTGAGAGGGCGGGAAGGAACCTGTAGCTCCGACGATTAGGGATTTCTTTCCCTTTGACCTCCATTCTCCTCTCCAGTGGAAACAGACCTGCAAGAAAACAGTTCAGAAAGGGTCAAAACTGTGTATTCACCTATCCCAGCCATCATTTTCCAAAACACTCTTAGTTTCAAATATTCTATCCCTTTGCCCCATAAGTCCCTGTAAATCTCTCAAAAGTCCTGAGAACTCCAGCTTGAGACATACAAACTCTGTGGCACTCATATATGTAGAATCAGCCTAAAAATCCTTGGTTATACCATGTGTCTCAGTTTTGGCTAATGGACATGAACCCACCTGTGATTAATGCTTAAAGCCTGGATCCTGGGGAGAAGAGACTGGACTGTTGTGGTGGGCAGTGCTGGCAAATGAACAAGAGTCCCCCGTCTCCCGAGAAATGATGATTTTGTAGAAGCTCAGGTTTTCCTTGAGTCTGAACCCAGGCTCCGTAGCAGTCTGTCGAGTGGGATCAGATTCAGCAGGAGGCTGCAGCTTTCCACCAAGAACAGACTCAGAGGGTCCCCTGCCCTCGGCGTCAGGCGCTGGGGCCTGGCAGGGTACTTTCAGCCCCCCGGGAGCAGCAGTCCGTTCGGCCATCACTCATCCCAGGGTCTGTGTCCTTGGTTGGCTCTGGCCAGTCTGGACAGGAAGCTTCGCTTTCCCAGAGGGCACCTGGGAAGGAGCAGGGCTCCCTCACAACCGTCTCCAAAAGCACAGGCGTGGGGATGGGTCGCACTGAAGTGACCACATTGCCGAGGGGACTAAAGGTTTCACAGTTTTAAAAGCAGGAGTTTCTTTAACTGCAGGGAGATGCTCTGTATATCTTCTAGTCAGATAGTAAGGCAGGGTCAGTTGGCTCTTCCTGCTTCTGTTTATTCCCCATATTTATCTGAATTTTCTCTTTTACATTGCAGGTAAACTAAAAGATCTTGGGAACTTGGTTCTTCGACCTTTTGGACTCTCCACCGAAAATTTCCAGATCAAACAGGATTCCTCTACTGGTTCCTACTCCATCAATTTTGTTCAAAATCCAAATAATAACAGATAACAAAGTTAACCGTAGCTTGTCAGGCTGGCTTGGAGATCGTGTGCTGCTTGCTATTAACAAGGGGGAAGGGCCTGCCAATATTTAACTTTTAAAAGCATTTTATCTCAAAGACAGGCTATCCACTAGGGCCCAGTGCTCCCTTTTCCCTCTTGTTTTCCAGTCAGGGTGAAATGCACTTCTGATGTCATAAGCCTAATTTGATTCCCATTTTAAGGTGGTGTCTGTGCAGCTGTTGCCCTTGGTTCTGGCTGTCCTTGGCTTTGTCCGGGACGAAGCCTGCTTGTCAAAGCTGACCTCCCTGAGCTATACACGCGAGCCCAGCCAGAGCGTCCCCCAGCCTGAGCAGACCTGCCGGTCGGAGACTGCCCAAATATGATTCCTGGGGTTCCCGCCTGCTGTCCCCTGTCCCTGATTACTCACCCCGCCCAGGCTGCTGGGCATGGGCTCTGGCATCTCCTGGTTTCCTCTGTGGTAAATAAACGCTTTCTGTGATGGTCTGAGCTGGCTTGTGAATTTTGTCCCCATAATGACAGCTAAAGCAGAAGGCTTCTCTGGCTTCGGGAGCAGTGTTGCTGAGTGTTACTGGAGTCCACAGGTCTGCCCAAAGTCTTAGGTGCCACCTCGAAGATGATCTTGAAGAAGTGACTATTCTACCACGTACTAGAACGCAGGAACTCCACCTCACAAACTGTCTTGGGCTTCTTCAGGTTTGTGCGGATCATTATGAAATGAGTGTTTTTGCCCAAGCATCAGTCTTAACAGTTTCAACCTAAAATAGCTTCCTTCAGGTATGGTGGTATGTAAATCCTGGAACAAATCATCATCGTTTAGGCTACGTGAACCCAGAGGTTTCAAAGGTAGGTTTAGCGTTTTTTTTCCTAGTCATTGATGATTACTGGTGAAAAGCTTCCGGTTGCTCTGGTTTGAGTGTCAAAGACAGTAACGTGCAGGTTTCACCTTAGAAAGGAAGCGCCCATCTCATCGTGTGAGTCACGTTGCGGTGGCCTCCTCCCAGCAGGAAGGCTGCGCTGCCGCTGTGATCTGGTCCTCAAAGCCCCTTCAAGAGTGTTGGTAGGTAGCGGAACCATGTGCAGTCCTGACTGTGACAGGCTGAGCCTGTCTTACAGATTGTGAAATGAAATTCTTCATGGAATTAACAAGGGGAAAGGGAGAGGGAGAAAGAGTGTTTTGCTTTGCTATCTTGATGGTAAATCTGGCATCTAATATTCCAAAAAAAAGTGTGTGTGCACAATCATGGAAGTTGTGCGGAGCCTCTGTGATAAGCGCGTCCCGCGCGGTGGGCAGTGCCGGGGCGGCAGCTCCCAGCTCTTCCCCGCTCGGGAACCCTTCACACTCAAGGGAGGCTTAAGAGTGTTTTGGTTTATGTAGATTATACCCATTGATGTTGACCAGATGAGAAATTAAAACAGGATTCTCTTTAAAATTTAGGTAATGTCTTTAAAAATAACAAATACATTTCCTATTAGTATAAATAGTATTTTTAGAAAAGTATCTCCCAAAACAAGAACATTTCAGAAAGAATGACATCATTCTACATTTTTGCAAATCCCTTTCATGTGTGGCTTGATAGAATAGAGCAAGGTTCTTAGATCTGCTCCTGCACTCAGGTCGTCACAGTATCACGTCCTGGAGTCTGGAGCATCCTACACTGTGCCTACACGTGACAGCAGGACAGTGTGAAAAGCAGATGCCTCCTTAGTATTGTCGCGAAAATAGCTTCGACCCCGTGGAGACCTGAAAGGGTCTCAGGAACTCCTGAGAAGCCTCAAACTACTTGTTTGTTTTCTTAATGTAAGCTCTACACCCAACCTGGGGCTTGAACTCTTGACCTCAAGATCAAGAGTCACATGCTCTACAGACTGAGCCAGCCAGGCGCCCCTCAGACCACATTTTGAGAGCTACTTTGTCAGATTAAGACTTCCAGCTGAAAGTTTTTTTTAACTTTTTAATAGCTGAAACTCGGCCAAGTTCGGGGCGCTGGCCCTCCCCAGGGAGTGGGGAAATAGATGTGTTTGCCTCCATGCAGCCTGCCTTAAGACACTACCCTTGCTGCGGGCTCTAGAGGTTTTGCTTCTCAGGCCTTCCCGCTCCTCCTCTCCCTGCCCCTCCCCCACCACCTCCACTTGCACCACACTGAAATCTCACAGTGGGCCAAGTAATGCGTCTGGAAAGGAAAGGAAGGGAATCTAACTAGATGTCAATTTTCTTAAGCCAAAGAGTGTTGTTTGGGTTTTTTTTTTTTAATCAACCACAGTTACTTCTCTACTTACAAATTTGGAAGAAAAAATAGATTCAAACCTTTTGAAAATGTTTGAGAATAGAATAGAAATGTTTGATATTGCATATGTTCTTATTCCAATAATATTGCAATGGATCAAAATAATTTTGGATCTCCTTCTAGAATTTCCTTGAAGACTGTAAGACACATTTTATTTAATTACTATGATCTCCTATCCCCTATCTGCCTCCATGAGCTCCTAGAAGGTAAGGGCCATATTTATTTTCTTAATAGCACCAACACTTACTCCTCTACTTGAAACTTAATTGGTATTAAAGGCATTCTACAGGAAGTGTTCTCAGTGTGAATAACCATCACTATCCAGAAGTCTCCAGATTCTGTGCCCTTTGGTCAGTCCCTGGTTTTTAAAATGTCTCCTTTGCTAACCATTATCTTTTATCTCAAGATAACTAGAAACTAGTCATTTTTCCTCAAAATTTTAAGACCCAGCAAGTGATTCAAATGTCAGCTTAGGAGGTTTATGTGCTATTTTTCACCTTCCAAAGAATGTGGTAGGAGGCAGTGAAAGACAACAGCTTAGTTTCACCTAGCAAAGACCAGTGTATTGATCTGAACTTCCTGTGTATTGCCCAGAACAGCCTCAGCACACTGCAGTTTATGGTCCCAGTTAAGTTTCTACAGTAGTGTTTCTATTTGGGTAGGTGTAAGGTTCTAGCTAATTTAGAGGGCTCAGCTAGGGTTTCTCAACAATGAATCCAGTACTTGTACACATAAAGCTTAGACACTTTGTGAAAAGAATCACTTTAAACCAGTCGAGCCCATCCTGTGCTGCCATGTAGAATGCCCTCAGATGTTGAGCATTCAACCTGGCTAGTAAGCCTATGTCTCCTGGTCTTTAAATTTTCATTTTTGCATCTTAGATATATGCAAGGATTTGTCCTGAGACTTTCAGAAATCCCCACCTTGTCCTCTCGTTTCAGCCTCTCCACCTTCTCCCAGATCACATTTCCACTGAATCTTGGGTTCTCTGTATCTCCACATTGTGTCTTAAGCACCCCTCCAACTTTCACTTGAGCGACTTCTGTTCACTGGAGCCTCCTGCAGAGGGGTTCACCCTGGAAACTGGGACTATTTCTGCAACAAAGTCCTGCTCATCTAGTGCTTTTTCTATGGGGAGTACACTGTGGATTAGTTCCTTTTCCTCACATCATGGATCTGAATTATGGTTAAATTCTATTCTTAAGATCCCCTTCTTTTTCTAAGAAGTCTACTTTCCATACAGGTTTGCCTTCCATCACAAGCACTGCCCCTAGGTTCTCCCCCGTATCCCTTTGCTCTTTGTCCCACCCCCCAGAATGCACTATCTTATTACAAGTTACTGCGCTTGTAGGAGCAGAGACTATTACACCATGCTGAGATGTGGAGGCTGGGGAGTGGCCGAGCCTACTAGCTAATGACCTGAACATTGCAGCACTGGGCCTACATTTGAGCTTCAGTAAAATGTCAAGACCTCACACATTGGACCTTCAGAGTTACTCAGGTATAGTGAAAGGCATGAATGTTCGTTTAGTCTATAAAAGACAAAAGTCCTATTTCCTGCAACATTTTGTGTCGTTGAAGGTAGGGACCTGCTTTTGGAAATACTGGGCTTGGTGATTATTTCTGGTGCTCCGTGGGTCCCTGAGCTGGCCTCTAAGACTGTTGCTGAATTACGTTTCACACGGCTCTCATGCTGGAATTCAGACTGATTCAGGAAGATCAGACAGGAACTTTGTGGAGGCATTTTACTCTCTGAATAGACTACTGTGGGATGGGAAACTGGCAGCAGGTATTAAATGCAAACCTGATTGGAAGATGTATTTGCAAGGGTTGTGTGTCTGCTCCTAAGAGCTAACCAGACCTGCAGATCCTGTCTTTTACAACTGGTTTAGCCAAAGTTGGTATGTCAAAGGGGAAGGTACTGATAGGAGACCAAGGACGAAGGGAACAGCTATGCAAGTAAATGGCTGCTTTAATCTCAAGAAAGATCTTTAAAGGGAAGGGTCCAGTAACCCTCTAAAACCAGAGTGCCAATCTGAGAAACTGCCTAGGACAGGAAATACCCATGACTTAATAAGCCTCTGTCCCTCTTCCTGTGGTATCTGAGCTCTTCTTAAGCTCACTGTTGGCCTGAAAGGCAGCATTGAGCCGCAGGAGCTGTGTTTTGGGTGCAGCCTGTGGGCCTGCGGCCCAGGGGTCACTGCCAGCTCGGCTCCATTTGTTCTGTTTGTTCCTATTGCTGTGATTACTTCTGCGACCCTTCCACCTCATCCCTCCCTTATTTCTTAAGGCCTTGAACTCTTCCTCTAACACTTTTATTACTGTGTGCCTGATACCTACCCCTAAAACCTAGTAAAATCCTTGAGCAATTTCAGGGAGATGTGTCCACCCCTTTTCAGCCTGCCCGCTCTGTGCTGCGATAGTAACAAGCCTAGTCCTTCTATCACCTTCGTTTCCTTTAATGAGGAAGCATATGCAGAGTATGGCAGAAGGGGCTCGGAAACCTGTGCCTTCAGGGAACCTTACAGAAAAAGGAGGTGGTAATTTCCAATTGCTTCCTTCTCTGAAGAGCTGCCCTGAGTCCACACTAGACCAAGCCCAATAATGCTCCTGATAATGAGAAATGGATTACTTGCTACCAGCCAGCCCAAGAGGTGGAGCTAAAATCACCCTACAGCCTCAGAACAGTTGCTTCAAACCCTTCAAGGGGCAATCAGAGAAACCAAAATCATGAGTTTATGAAAACGAGTGAGGATGGCCTCATACTTCAAAGTACTAAACATTTCAGTCCTCCTGGCTACAAGCTGGTAATTGGTGAAGCTCGGGGTGGATACACGGGGTTTGTTGGTTATACCAGTCTGCCTTTACAGATATTTGGAATACTTAGAATATTGCCATCTTCTCATTTTCTGACCTTCTCAGGTCTGCAAACTAGGAATAAGCTCCATCATGTAGGAGTTCTTTCGGCCAGAACTAGAAATTTGACTCTTGACCTTTTTCCTTTCACTCAAGGGGAATCTTTGGAAGCTCACATTTCCCTCTTAGCTAAAGCATGGCATGGCCTGCCGTCCCCCTGCCAAGGAAGCCCATAGCTAATAATTTAGGGCCATGATTCAGTCCCAGCTCCTAGAGCTCTAGCTTGCTGACAGTACAGCTCCCCCGGGTGGGATTTCTACCTCAGGCACTCCACCAGGGGGCTCACATTAGGCAGCCGCCTCACGCCGTGTCATACCGCCTGAGCACCCAAGTGCCCTCCAACTCCCCAAATGTAGCAAGTCTGAAATCCACAAAGGGTCGAGTCTTCAAACAGACTAAAGACAGAAACCCTCAAGGCGGCCAGGAATGGGAAGCCAGGGAATGGAGTGAAGTGGGGAGAACAGTTTACATTTGAATGTAGGCTTTGGTGGACCGTCTCTGGTGGTTGGTCTCAAATATACATTGTTTTGTAGAGATAGTTTGACTACCCCAAAATAGAATAACAACGCTGTTTGCAGCTTTGTTTCATGAAGTTAACTGGGAGGAAAGATCGGCTAATTTCCGGGGGCTGTGTGACACAGATTAGATCCTGCCATTGGCAGAGTTGGCATCAGAGACCAAGAATTAGAGCTTCAGCTTGCGCTGCAAGTGTTCCCAGCCTGCCTTGTTTTCCACAGGTGTTAAAGAAGCTGCATTTAAACATGTGAAGGATCCCCTCCATCCCTGTCTTCTACAACATTGCTTTGTGTCTTCCTGAAGCCCTGCTGTGCTTTTTCTAGAACAGCGCCACAACAGGCACTCCTTTACCTTGAGGTACTTCACACTGCTGATACAGTTCACCTTCTTTGGATCACAGGTCTGAGCTGTGCACTCAGGATCCACAGGAATTAGGCACTGACTGAGCTTAGAATTCAGAAACAGAAGATCGTAGACTATTTCACTCAAGGTAAAAAAAATTCCCCGTCTTGGACCAGTGTGGCTGTGTGATTGTGTCAGGAAGGTAACTGGTAGAACTTAGAATCCACATCTGTAGATTAAAGCAGGTCATTTGTATAGAAGCATCCTCCTCTTAAGTATCACCAGCTCACTTGGCTTCCTTTGCATTAGAAGGTTGCTTCAGTAGATGTGCCTCACGAGGAAATCAGGAAAGGGGCTAATCCAACAAGTATTCTTAAGTATGGTGACCTAGCCACTGGGTTTGGCCGGCTCTTTCTTCCTCCGGCACAGTAATCCTGAGTTATATTCTTTCATTCCAGGTTCATTGCCTTCTTGGTATCAGAGCAAAGGAAGTTGTTAGGCCATGAAATTTCATTGTGATGTTCTTCACTAGAGAAAGGTATGCTTGAAGATAACACAGTGTGCTCTATACAAAGCACTGAGAGAAGAGTCAGAATCATTACTTGAAAGAGGAGAAATGAGTTATCAGGTATAAAAGCAGGAAAACAGCTTACTTTTTTCTATAGTGCATATTTGCAGTGACATACCCAGCATGTCCAGGAAGGAACTTGTACATTCCATACATTATTTCAGGGCATGAATCCAAACTTCGATTTCCTTCCATGAAGACAGCACCAGAAAGATCCCAAGCTGTAGCCACAGGTCTCATCACTCACTCCCTCTCCTGTTAGGAGGTGTGTCTATAAACATAGTGACACACGTATGTAACATGACTGGGAGTGTATTGGGGCGGGGTGGGTGTCATGCGGAGGCCTTCCCGATAATGTGCACATGGCTTGTTTACCTTGGTTCTCTCAAGCACCATTTTCCTTACTAGGAAACTTGAAGGGGGGGTAAAAGATACTAACAGGGCCAGACTCCAGTGGCCTCCTTTTTATACCCAGATAAACTGAAATGAAAGTACATTTGAGAGTAAAGACTCCATGTATACTCTGGAATAACAGGCAGCCTTCAAAAGGATTGCTTTACTCAAATGGGGGTGCGAGGGAGGCACACTAACCTAAGTTTCTGGGTCAGTCTAAAAATAACCTCAGCTGTCTGGTAGGTTTTAAGAGGCTCATTTTTTCCTGACAACGGAGTGTTTCTGGTCACACACTCACATCAGACATGCTGGGCTTTTAAAGAAGCAACCATTTATCCATAAAGGCAGGACTTCTTGAAACCAAAACAAACCTACCAGCAGGTATTTGCTGTTACATCCAGCTCTGAAGGGTAGCATATTTGTTTCCATCAGAAAAGTCATGTTTGTGCACAGGATCGTAATTAAACTCTTCACCCTTCCTCTATTCCTTGATCATAGAGGGTCCCATAAAAATCTCCCAATTAAACAGGATGTTCTAAGGAAGCAATGTTACTTAAAACAGGTCCCTAAAGAACAACTAGTGGTTGAATCTTTAATATATAAAAAATAACTTTTAAAAACCTAACTCCTAAAAAGTAAACAAAAGTTTTGAAATAACTAAATTTTAAAAAATCAAGACTTTATTGGATAAATGTTACACAACATTCTTTAACATTTAAGTCTTAGCATACTTTAGATGAGAAACAACTTTTGTCATTCAAGTCTACAAAATGAAATAGGCTTGTGAAGATTTGAAATACAGACAAAGGTAGCATGAAGCAAAGCTTAAATATTAAGCAACTAAAGCAATGAAAAGTGAAATAGCAACATGGTATGTCTAGATTTTAAGTACCACCAAATTTCATTTATTAAAAAATGAAAATGTGGTTTATAACAAAACACCTTTGAGAATTTTGTCATAAGAAAAAATAGATACTTAAAAGAATTGGGAGAGATCAGATTTTGCCATTGTATTATTTCTTGGTCATTTCCATCACTCTGCGCAAAGTATTGTACAGTCCGCCATGGCGTGGAGTTATCTGGTTCTTGAAGTGAGCCTGAAAGGTACTGCTGGTGTTCAATCTCAGAAAGAACAAGATGGACCCCAGCCTAAGCGCTAGGGCCGGGAAGAAGAGGGGGCCATGGAGGCACACATAATCTTTAGAGCTCCCTGCTGCTCCAGGTCCTGAGCTGACTTTTTCAGATTTGATCAAATGTGTATAATGACTTCATGACGATTTCCAAAAAGACTTTAGAATGCGCTCCAAACTTTTAATTACTTGCAGTGCAATTAGAATTTATATTAAGCTCACTCGAAGACTGTCTTCCTTTTCTTCTTGAGTTATAAAACAAGTCCTAGTCAGATATATCAAATGCTCTCCAGCTCTCACTCAGAACCTTTTCTTAATCCTGAGCGTGGGGTTATTAAGAAATCCCAAACCTATACAGTAAGATTATGGAAAGTTTAAACACTTGAGCCAAATGCTCAGTTATCTGTTACGTTGCTTCAGATGAATTTTGTATTTTATTTTTTGGCATTTTTCCCCCTTTTTTTGTATTAAGTAAGCAATATGGATTATCTTTCTGGTTTAAAAAATAAATCAGTATTGCCACTAAAAAACTTCAGTTTTATTATTAAAAGTACTGCACCATCAAATATAAAATGCCTTAAAAATGTAGTACTAATAGGTCCTTCTGGTTTTCTCATGAAAGTTTTCTCCATTCATTAAAAAGAAAAATTAAGGTTTTTCATAATATGTATTTTCCAAAGACAAGAAAAACATGGTCTCCATTAGTAAGAATTCATGTTCCATGCATGAAAGCTCTTTATGGGTCTGTTCCTCCTGCTTGTTCCCAGGGTCAAGTCCCACCTGACACCTGGGAGAATATCTTGCACTTAGAAGGGGCTCTCCATGAGAGAGGTCCACATCAAAATTCAGGGAAAAAGCCTTTCCACCTCAGTAGAATTAAGAAGTAGCTCTTAGAGTAAAAATTTTCACTCTAAGGTCAACACTAGCCTATCCACTTTGAGTCAGAATTTAAAAGGTAAGAATGCAGTTATGAAAATGTGCACAAAACGTTAAATACTCGTGGCAAATAAATACATCTTAATATGTTCTAACAAGCAAACATATATTCAAGATAATACAGCCCTGTTTTATTGAAGAAAGAAAAGATCCAAATTCTCTTTGCGGGGTGGGGTGGGGCACTTTGCCATCCTTTTAGTAGGATGTTAGAGAATCCTTCCTGTTGTTTCCACTGGTACCCTGAAGGAGACCTTGGCCTAGCCTGGGCAGCTATGACTCTTGCTGTGTCACAGGAGAGCCATCTTAGAAATGCCTTTGCTCATATCTGAACTGATTAACAAAACCTTGGAGAAAACACAGTTTTAGTTTAAAAAATAATTCAGCGTCTCTGTCATCATCCCATGTTTTAGGCCTGTCCAAACTGTACTGAAAAGAACTTCACATTCAGAAAAAGTTACGGTCAGTGATTCTTCATACATATAAAATTCAAGTGAGTTCTTTGCGTGTTTCATATCACTTTTCTCCTCCTCTCATGCATAATTTATTGCAATAGTTTATTTTTTATAAAATATTCTCCTAACACCTTTTCTTCGGTTTAATACAGCACAGTTTGCAAGTGCCCCTTTATAGACTTCGGTTTTAACCACTGCCTTAACATTTACTTCTTAGTGCAGCTTTAAAAATCTGAGTCTCCAATGTCATTCAGTCCTGATGCTCTGGTGTGGGGTCATTGTGGGACGTGTCCGTGAAACCAGCAGCCTGCTAATGTCTTTGTGCTGAAATACAGTAAAGAAAAGGAAGAAAATGTAGTTAAGCACAAGTAAATAGGAGAAAAATGATGTCCTCGTTGTTTAAATTCAGCCCTATGTAGATTATGGGGTCACACTTCTTTTAAATCAGCTAAACTTAACTGATACTTGAAAAAACCACATTTACTTCCACTCTAAACCAGCAGAAGCATTCATTTTATTTCCAAAGTACATCCGGCCAAATTCCAACACAAAACTGTTGTCACCTTCAGAGTCAGTCTCCACTTGAGTAGATTTTTAAAAATCCTTGTTGATGAATATTTGCCTATTGGGGGAGGGGGGGGGGCTTTTAGCTTCGTTCTCTATGCTCCCCCTTCGCCGGCATCCATGTTAACCTTTGGAAGTCCACGCCGCTGCCTGCCGTGGGCCAGTCGGAGGCACCAGCGGCCTTCCTCGCACGGGCTGCCTACAGACGGAAGCCAATTCATACCCGAAACCAAGCTAGGCGCGGGTCAGCTGCAGACCGTACCATCTGCGTATGCGCAAAGAGCAAACAAGGGGGGTGGAGGGTGCCTTCCCAGAGGTACACACAGCACATCAGAAGGCGTCCAGAGCGCCATGTTGCTACTCGAAGACAACTTCTGTACACTAGGTGGACTGACTAGTGTCCCGTTATTACACCAGCACACCAGATCATGAGCTGAGGCTCTCTTTACCAAACCTCCAACAAGAAGCAAGACTGAGCAAAACATTTATAGAGGGTAAGGCTTAGAAAAATTACTGCCAGCATGACCGGAATTTCTGCCCAACATTATCGACTTCCCTTTAATACCAAGTGGTAAAAACCCCACTGCAATCCTCTATCATCCTTGGTTAATGCCTCTCGGACCCGGTAGACTAAGTACCAATAAGAGCTCAAATTTCAAAAGACGTGATCGTGGAGAGAATGATGTTTTTGTTGTTTTTGTCAAATGTATTTTTAAACCAAACCAAAGATCTGTGGTGTGTTCAGTAGCATAATAACTGACAAAACAAACACAGAATGCAAAAAGAGAAAAAGAAAAACCACCCTCATCCTTCCCAATATTTAACTTCCAAACATTTCAAAGTAGGAATCTTTGCCATTCTTTGCTAGAACTCTTGATCTTCTGTTAGCTTCCTGGATTGCCTCCCTGACTTACTGGATCAAGGCCTATAAAACACAGTAACAGGGCATTCTGTCACGTTTTTCTCAAGCAATGAACAGTGGCTTCTAGCTGTAAATACCCCACACATCAGAATAGAAGGTGAATAGTCTTCGCTTCTGAAGGAAACCATGATTAACACCTTTAAATTTGACATTGAACTAAGAAACGTTTATTTTTTAAAACTAGTAATACTCTTTAGACCCACACAAAACTTGAGAAGGAAACAAAGAGGAAGAAAAAAAGGTAAACAGCCAATCCCATGCACAATTCCATTTCCTTCTATTTATGACTCAGTATTTGGCTTCAACCTTAGGCCTATTCAAGTGAACAAGCAAGCCCAGGGTTGAAGCAGGTCTTACTATTCCTATGAGAGGTGCAGAAAACTAACACACCATTCCCTCAAGAAATCACCATCAGCATCACTCCCATCCCTACAGTACAGCTCCCGAGTCCAGAACCTCCCAGCCTCAACCTCCGATCCCAACTGTGCCATTCTGACCCAGCTTGCAAATGACAGCTCCCGGGCAAAGCCACGACCGATCATGACTCTTTGCTAGCCGCAAACATCACAGGGTTAAATAGCCTTAATTCAAGGAAGCAAAAAGAGAGAAGTTAAGCAGCAGCACAACAGAAACCTTAAACCTTTCCAGCTGTGTAAGAACCCAAAATAAGCCTTTTAAGGCACTATCCAAAGAGGTCTCAAATGTAAAGAAAAAGATTACGGCCCCCCCTGAGTTTAGACTTTCCTGATGTAAATGACAATGGTTTTGAGGTTAATTCACTAAGGGAAAAATAAAAATATATATATATATATGTTCATATGGATATATATATTCTTATATATACACATTAAGAATGACTAAGAAGTGGATATAAAAGTGACAAAGACTGAGATAGGGAAAAGACAAGAAATCCACTATTTGACTTCCCACGGTGACTCAGTTGCTATGTGACTTAATTCTACAACTTGACAGCCAACTTTTAGCACCCTAGGAGAAACTCCTTTCACAGAAGCTCACAGGAGGCTAGCTCTGCTTTTCTTAGCACAACTGAAAGTTACTGTCACTCGTTAAAATTGTCACCTACATGAGGTACACCCAACTTCCAAGGTCAATGAAAACTACAGAAAAAGAACGAATGAATTCTTTTAGGTCTAGCCTGATCTACTTCAGAATGATTAAGTGATGACATGATGCCCTCTTCACTTTGTGGCAGGGCTTAACACAGACAGACCTGCCCGTCTCACTGTTAACTTCAATGCTCCCAGTCTGAATCCACAGTGGTCTGTCAGACACTGTAAGGGAGCAGCAGGACTCGTCACTGTCTGATGTAATAGCTGCCATTTGTTGAGACCTATGGTAGAAAAAACCAAGTTAACAAAAGTAGAGCAGTCATTTGAGTTCTTTTAAATCCACTTTACAAAAAAATTTTAAAAATAAGACCAAAATTCAGTTGAATTTTCATAATGAATGTATTCTAGATAACTTGCTGACTTCACAGAAAGTGAAGCTTGGGTACGAAAAGACAAGACGTGAGGTGTGTGTACACACCAGCGTTGGCCAGGAGAGGGCACTCTCCGGCACCAGTCAGTTCAGCAGCAACAGGCCTTGGGACGCCCACACTGAGCAGCTAACTCCCACGAAATGTTCCAGCTAAAAAACTTCTTCTAGCCTACTACTAAGCGAGGGTTGGAGTAGTCCTATCTTCTCAGTATACGGTGAGAGCTGAAGCTGTCATCCTTGGCCACGTTATTTCATCAGTGAGCTCAAAGACCCTATTTTGCAGAATGACCAAAAACTACCCGACTCCTCTCCTTTGCACACTAACTTAGGACCTGACCTTCCTGTGTGAGTTAGTACCTGCTTGAAATGTTTGACAACATAAGCTTTCTCACTTGGGCTTTCGGAACAGAGACTTCAAATACAAAGAATAATTCAAATGAAGGAGTGCTGTTTTAAGCCTTATTTTTAACATATTTGCTTGTCTTCTTACTCCCCTATTTTAAGTATAAACAATTCATCCCATCAGGGTAGTCAACTCTGGGATCATTGATTTAGAGGATTTTCAGTCCTTATAATGAATGAATGATTTTTAGAATACTAAAGGACATCAGAAACAGTAACATATAATCAAAACTTTTTAAAAAGGCTTTTCTGACATTGAGAAAGAAATCTCATACACATGATCTATAAAAATAATTACTTCTGAACTTTAATTCAAAGAACAATTTTCTTAAATGAGACTTAATGAGATTATTCACCCTTTTGTTCATGGAAAAACTTAGATATACTATGTAAGTATATCTTATATACCTAAATATACTATTAACTGTAATCCAACAGCAATCACAGAAGAAAAAAAGTAATCCAAGTGCATGAAACAATTTAACTTTGAACAACCTCTCCCTCCATAAGTAGACTTGTTAGGTTTCAACAATCATTCTGTATCTCTTCTTTGGGAGCACCTCGGTGGCTCAGTTAAGCATCTGCCTTTGGCTCAGGTCATGATCCCAGCGTCCTGGGATCAATCCCCACATCAGGCTCCCCCACTCAGCAGAGTCTCCTTCTCCCCCTGCCTCTCACCCCACTTGTACTCTCTCTCTTGCTCTCTTTCAAATGAATAAAATCTTTAAAAATAAATAAATCTTAAAAAAAAAAAGGAAGGAGGTCATGCTCTTAGAGGAAAGTTCAGCATTAAAAAGTAAAGAGTTAAGATTATATAAGATTATAGACATGTACCTGTTACCTTGCTGAACACTCTTAAGTTTTCCCTTAATACAGTGTAGTATCATGCAACATGAACAAACAGGAAAAGCACAGTGCCTCGTTCTTCTCATTCTGGTTTTCTAGCTTGGTGCTATTTTTCTAACCAGTTATTCCAATAAGGTTTAATAGTTCTTCCCAGCCTACCAAGATGCCCCTCCCAGCTGGATTCCTTGATAAAAGCTAAACTGGGGGTGGCAATCATAGGTCTGTAATTAACCGCATCTAAAAAATGAGCAATGGATAAAGAAGACTACCTTCTGGAAAATATGGCCACGATGCACAAAGATCAAGGCCTTAGAATGTGTATTTCCCTCCTAAAAAGTGGAAACAATCTACTCAATCATACCAGTAGCAATAAAAAATAAAAACCAATGTTCAACGTAATATCCATTTTCTCGTCACTTAGCAAAAAATAGTAAAACACCAGGGTCCCAAGGGAATACGGCATTTGTGCAAATCAGCTAACTTATGCAACTTAAAGGCTGACAGGCATAGCTTTGTGCTTCTAATACCTTTGTAAAGCCCTCCTAAGAGGACCTCTACTCCACTGAGCCCCACCAGCGCAGATACTTCTCATGCCTCTCTGAAAGGATTTGGGATGTGCCAGGCTTCTGGGATGGCAACTGGTCGTTAGTACGTAACTGTCTGAACCAGAGTTACTCTTCCTCATTCATTCACAGGTAGACATCATTTCTCCTTTGTCAGGCCCTGTGCTTGGCATAAGGGAGAGTAGAAACAGGAGAAGAGACTGGAGTTTATGCAATACATAAATGAATGAGGCAAGAGTTGAAATAGGAAGTGAATGCAGTTCTCCCTTCACTATAATCCCCATGACCCCCAACCCAGCGCCTCCACAAATGCCTGTTGAATATAGTTAATGCTGCCTTCTAGATGTTTACGGACAATCATACTATGATTACTGTAATCTCAGATAAGAATACATTACAACACTTTTCATTTATAAGGTATATATGTTGCACAAAGATAATTTCAAAAGCTACCAGGAGGAAATCCCTATGCCATACACAGAAAGTGGTGGTTGTGGCAACGGTATCAAGTTATTTCTCTAGGTCTTTTTTTTTTTTTAAATAGAATAGCATTTAGCAAGTGTCTTTTATTTATTTTTTTAAGATTATTTATTTATTTATTTGACAGAAACAGCGAGAGCAGGAACACAAGCAGGGAGAGTGGGAGAAGGAGAAGCAGGCCTCCTGCTGAGCAGGGAGCCCGATGCGGGGCTCGATCCCAGGACCCCGGGATCATGACCTGAGCCAAAGGCAGACGCTTAACCGACTGAGCCACCCAGGCGCCTAGGTCTTGCTAGGCACTGTACTGCTTTAAATATTTAAGTTTTCACAATTGCCTTATGAGGTAGTATTATTCTCCCCATATCACAGAGGATGACACTGAGGTAACCCAAGATCACACAGCTAGCTTTAAGAGTCAGATCCAAGTCTTCCTTTGAATCTAGGAAGAAATCCGGCTCAAGACCCTGTACTTTCAATCATGTGCCTGAAAAGTGAGAAAGAATGATTCTTTGCTCAGGATGCCTGGCTGGCTCAGTCGGTGGAGTGTGCAACTTTTGATCTCAGGGTTGTGAGTTCGAGCCCCACCCTGGGTGTGGAGATTAATTAAAAATAAATCTTAAAAAAAAAAAAAAGATTCTTTGCTCAATAAAAGCCTAGTATGGAGCGCTGCTGGTCACTGTTAAGTTATATACTCCTAAGTATCCATTTCTATATTTTACACTCAACAGGAGAACCCTGACATTCCTCCAGAAACATTCTCCCCAAGCAAGCAAAAAACTCTGTTTTACTAAGGAATTTTTCAGTAACTTTTTAAGATTTTATTTATTTATTTGACAGAGAAAGAGAGTACAAACAGGGAGAGCCGCAGAGGGAGAGGGAGAAGCAAGCTCCCTGCCGAACAGGGAGCCCAATGTGGGCCTCGATCCCAGGACCCTGGGATCATGACCTGAGCCGAAGGAAGAGGCTTAACCGACTGAACCACCCAGGTGCCTCCTTTTTCAATAACTTTTAAGTGAATCTGTGCTGGAGAGAACTAATGAGGGACACTGAGAGTTACAAAGTTATCTTACACATTTTTAAAATGCCTTTGCTTAAACTTGATATACATTATAATTATAAGATTTTAGTTTAAATGAAAAGGGGGAAAGTGTGATAACAGCTTTAGCTATGGCATATGTGGTTTTCCTTCTAAATACAGGCACTAGGATAGAACAAATTATGAGTTTTAAATCATAATTTCTGGTTAAGACAGATTTCTAAGTCAATAAAAAAGCTGTCACATTCTTATGATACAAGGAAGATTCCATATTTAAATTACAGCCGTGTTTTCAAGTAATTTTTAATGGGGCCTTATAGAACTATCAGGAATTTGAAAATTTGTAATTCACACTTAAACCAAGTTTTAAGGGATGCCTGGGTGGCTCAGTCAGTTAAGCGTCTGCCTTCGGCTCAGGTCATGATCCCAGAGTCCTGGGATCAAGTCCCGCATCGGGCTCCCTGCTCAGCGGGGAGTCTGCTTCACCCTCTGCCTGCTGCTCCCCCTGCTTGTGCTAAGACAGAAAGATACATACATACCTGCTTTTTTTAAATAAATAAACCAAGTTTTAAGACCAGGTATTTTTTAACTGATCTTTTTCAACATCAAAGTTTTAAGAAATTGCTGTACAAATATTCAAGTGTCCAATAGAAAGCCCATAAGTTAGACAACTTATATTCAAGCCATCTAATTTATTCAATTGAAAAATAAGAATTTGAGTCAGAAATTTGGCATTTTGATAAATCCTTATAATTTTTTTGAGTCTGCATCTCTTTTCCTTTACACCTCCCCACAACCAATCTTAATTTGTGCCAGAATAACAGGAATCTATAAGAAAAATTCAAGTTCAGGGCGCCTGGGTGGCTCAGTTGGTTGGGCAACTGCCTCTGGCTCAGGTCATGATCCTGGAGTCCCTGGATTGAGTCCCGCATCGGGCTCCCTGTTCGGCGGGGAGTCTGCTTCTCCCTCTGACCTTCCTCCCTCTCGTGCTCTACCATTCTCTCTCTCTCTCAATAAATAAATAAAAATTAAAAAAAAAAAAAGAAAAATTCAAGTTCAGCCATTACTTTTTTCCAGAGATTAGATACATTAAAATTTGACTCAATCCATCCCAAGATGGATTTAAAGACATGATATAAAAATAATTTAAGGTGTGCACCTGTGTGGCACAGTTGGTTAAGCTTCCGACTTGGTTTCGGCTCAGGTTGTGATCTCAGGGTCATGAGATCAAGCCCCAAGTTGGGCTCTGTGCTCAGCATAGAGTCTGCTTGAGACTCTCTCTCCTTTCCCTCTGCCCTTCCCACTCATGCTCTAAGTTTTTTTAAAAAAATTAATTTAGGGGCGCCTAGGTGGCTCAGCCAGCTGGGCGTCTGCCTTTGGTTCAGGTCATGGTTTCAGGGTCCTGGGCTCAAGCCTGAGTCGGGCTGTCTGCTGGGGGAGAGGGGGGTCGGCTTCTCCCTCTCACTCTCTGGGCTTGCTCTCTCAAATAAATAAAATCTTGGGCGCCTGGGTGGCTCAGTTGGTTGAGCGGCTGCCTTCCGCTCGGGTCATGGTCCTGGAGTCCCGGGATCGAGTCCCACGTCGGGCTCCCTGCTCGGTGGGGAGTCTGCTTCTCCCTCTGACCCTCCCCCCCATGTGCTTTCTCTCTCTCTCATTCTCTCTCTCTCAGATGGATAAATAAAATCTTTAAAAAAAAAAAAAAAGAAAATTGAAAATAGAGAGCGCATCTGTATCACTGGGACTTTAAATTTTCTATTCCTTTATTGAAAATAGTACAACAGAGCCTATTAATTGCTAAAGCTTTCACTTTCTAATTCTACGCACTCTGTTGAGTGAAGGCATACTGTAGGTATATGTAAACTGTAGATACAGAATATGAAGAGCCTATTAACTCAGAACCAGGTAAAAGTAACTCATTCAGCTTAGCAGTTTAATTTTCTCCTGGCAAATGGCATGGTGCCAGCCTCTTCTTTTCTGAACTGCCTGTGTATCAGGCATTTCAATTAGAGATGGTCTTAGCAGCCACCATACTAATACAATCTCAAGGCAAACGCTAAATTTGACCAAACTTAGAAATAGGGTCTTCATTCTCTCTGGCAAATTCCCTATCAGAGGCCTTCACTGGGCCCAAATCACAATATCCTGAATCAAAACATCTGATCAACTTTTCTAGACCTTTGTCAGTCCCTTCTCTGCTAGGAGTACTGAACGAATATGAACTGATACAGCACAAACCACAGGAAAAAAAACACAATTTGAAAGGGAAAAATCTAATTTTAGATCCAAATTATAGATTTCTTAAGGTACAGGCATACCTCGTTTTATTGTGCTTCACTTTACTACGCTTCGCAGATACTGTTTTTGTTTTTGTGTTTTTTTTTTTTTTAACAAATTGAAGGTTCAAGACTTCAGTGGAGGAAGTAACTGCAGATGCGGTAGAAATAACAAGAGAACTAGAAGTGGAGCCCGAAGACGGGACTGAATTGCTGCCATCTCATGATAAAACATTAACAGATGAGGAGTTGCTTCTTATGGATGAGCAAAGAAAGTATTTCTTGAGATGGAATCTATTCCTGATGAAGATGCTGTGAAGATTGTTGAAACAACAAGATTTAGGATATTACATCAACTTAGTTGATAAAAAACAACGGCAGAATTTGAGAGGACTGACACCATTTTAAAAGAAGTTCCTCTGTGGGTAAATGCCATCTAACAACATTGCATGCCAAAGAAGAAAATTGTTCATGAAAAGCAGAGTCAATCGATGCAGCAAACTTCACCACTGTCAAAACTGCCACAGCCACCCCAACCTTCAGCAACCACCACCCTGATCCGTCAGCAGCCATCAACATCGAGGCAAGACTCTGCATACCAGGAAAAGATTTATGACCCACTGAGAGCTCAGATGGTTAGATTTTTTAGCAGTAAAGTTCTTTTTTAATTAAGGTATATACATTTTTTTTAGACACAATGCTACTGCACATAGACTGCAATATAAATAACTTTTATATGCACTGGGAAACCAAAAAATTCATGACTCACTTTATTGGGATATTCACTTTATTGTGGTGGTCTGGAACCAAACCCACAGTATCTCTTGAGGTATGCCTGTATTTCCAATTCCCAATTCAATTATTTTATGTAAAGAAATCCTCTATGTATATAAAGGAATGCAAATGTGTTATCTTTCCTTCAACATAACCAGTATTAAGTACAACCTGCTCAAAATAGCAGTGCAAGTCAGTATTGTGTAAATTACAAACTCAGACCTACCAAGATACACATTTGATTTTAGTAGCGCTTTCATATTGCCTTAAGTCTGTCTTCGTATCTATATTCTTGTCTACTTAGTACTAATTTAAAATTACTGTTTATAGACTTTCACATCAAAACCACATAGGATACATCAAATCATGCAAATGGGCCAGACTAATGAATTTTACTTTCCCCATCTCACTGATCTTTTTTACATCTAGTTCCACATCTATAAATGAGTCGAAAAGATATCCCTTTCAAATGAACAGTCAGCACTCTGTTCAATACATTCTGGGAAACTAAGAAAAATACTCTGATGCTTTAAATTTCTGAGCAATTCTAGAAATAAAGACCTCTTTGGCTGTTACAGCTTACTTTCACTTAGTTTCTCCCCTTGCTAATCCTTCGTTTTACCTTTTTTTTTTTTTTTTTAGATCACTGGAGATTTGGCCTAAGCCTAGTTTTGTCTCTGCAAAAGGAAAAAAAACGCATTTGGTTATCTCCATACAAAGAGTAAATGCCTCCTTTGACCACTTTAAAGGAAAATAGCTGCAACTATCCAATTCAACTCTATCTCCTCCATCTGCAGTAAATACTGGATAAATTTACCTGCTTAAGAAATTTCTATTTGGCGTAATGCAGAGAAGCTGAATCACTATATTGTACACCTGAACTAATGTAACATTGTGTCTTTACTCAAAATTTAAAAAATTTCCAACTGAAAAATACACAAATATGCAGCTACTGGATTTAGTGTTTAGTATGTATTTTAAGATTAAGGAATTCTTTAAAATTTCTCCTTACTGAAATATCAGATGAAACATGCCAGTTTAAAATGGAGGGATCTTTGGCATAATTAGAGATCATGCACATTTGTGATTATGCTTCAACCTTTCCCTTAGTGGTATGGACTACATAAAATTTAATGTTATTTTTGTACTCATCATGACTTTATTCCCAACCCCCCCAAAACCAGGGCTTCTGAAACAAATCAAATTTGGTTTATGCCAACAGAGTGCGTTTGCCAACGCACTTGACTTATTAGCAATATCCACTGTCAAACCCACTGTTAAGATAAAACTCACCTGGATCATTACATGAAGCCTTGGAATTAAATTATTTTAAGTGACTTTTTGCTCTGCCTCGCTTAAATCTTTCTGAACCTTAGATTTTAAACTTTCAAAAATATCTGAACAAGTTCATTAATCTAAAACAGTACTCAAAAATTTAAGATACTTCCTTAAAACCCCTCAGTCACACCGTGAACATCTTTCAACCTGTTATAATCAAAGAATTTTAAAAGTAGTATAGTTGTTTCTGTTTGCAGGAAAGAATATGTTCTACTCAAGTGAAAGTTTTTTTAATTGTGTGTTTATTATAATCAAAAAGCATTGACTTGAGTTCCCCAGATGAAATTCTACTTGCTTTTGCAGAAATCAGTATATAAATCATAAAAGTCCGTAACTTTAAAACTGACAGATTATGGACTTTAATCTCCATTAATCTTTTCATCATTAATTCCATAGGTAACTAAGACATTTCAAATTGGATTACTTAGAATTATACAAAGTTGCTCTAAAATTTTCAAGTTTCCCAAAGTGTCAAATTGATATTCTATCAAATTCAAAAGGTAGTTAGACACAAAAAAATATGAAAGCAACTTGAAAAATCTTGGGATAAACTTGCCTCCACAGGCAATCAGATCTATGTTCACTAACAATAAAAAGCTAAAAATGGAAAGTCAGTCAAATCTGAGGGACAGATGGACCATGTAGAAAAACAGTGATCTGTTACTAGCCCCAAAAGCAAGGATACCTGAGGCAGACCAGACTAAAGAGAGACTGGTTGTAACTACCCAAATATAAAAAAAGAGCCATGTGATGAAGTATTAAGGCTAAACATGAGGAAAATTAAACCCACACATATGAGAAATTGGCGGGAGGAGGGTCTCAAATCTAGAAGCATATCAGACCTCTACACTATAAAACCTCATTTTCAGAATACATGGATTAATCACTTACTTGAATTTTATCTATGGTCAGGTAATATATTCTCTGATAGGACAAATAAGAAAATAAAGGTTTGATATTTTTCATCTCCTCTATACACTATTACAAAGAATAACTTTCTCCCATCTTGATATTTTTCAAAGCTTTTTGAGAAACACACACAAATAATTTGGATTTAGTCGATTTTATTTACAGCTTTTTTTTTTTTTTTTACATTTCAGAGCATTACACAATTACATTTTCTCATTTTCTGACCTGCAAACAGATACCTTAAACGGAAATATTTCTTAAAAATTATCAAATTAGGTACATCCAAAATGCAACAATTACACATATGACAATTAATTCACAAAGTGTAATTTACCAGGACGTATCCTAAGAATTTAGGAACAGCCAGTCAGGAGAAATCTGACCAAATTTAGCAATCAACTATTTACATATCCAAAGACAAACCTACCTAAACTCCCAAACCAGAATTTTGAAAGTTTTTGTTAAATCCCCGTTAAACAAGAGTGACGATTCAAACCTTGTCAGCCTTAAAAGTCTTAACCCCAAATACCGGGCTATTTCCCCAGTCCGCAACTGAATAGCAAGCATCTCAGTTTGTCAAACACCTAAGTATCGAACTCTTGCGCCATTGTGCACATAGAAGGGCTAAGTATTCATTAATTAAAAAACAAGTAGTCATTAAATACCCACACTATTCCCCCATCCCCACCCCCCACCCAGCTCACCCAGCCCTTACTGCAATCCCAAATATGCAACCTATGTCACATAGTGACAAGCTATGTTATATATATGTATGTATGCATATACACACATATACGTACATGTGCATATATATATAAATATACACACATACACACAGTACTAGGTACAAATGGCAATTAACAGTCCCTGCAAAAATTCATTTTCAGTTGAGGCTATGGCTCCTATGCCTTGGGATGGTTTGACTTCAAAACTGAAAAATACTGCTAAAATCTCACTTCCTTAAGACAAAATTTGATTGCTTGTTCAGTTTAAGCTTCTCAGTCTAAAAATGGCTATAAGGTAAGTATAAAAAAGCAGCCAACTGAGTACAATTCCTCTCTCCGATTTTGCCAAGCTATTTCGTAGCAGTTACTCCTAACTAGACTAGGAAATCTGCGGTGCCTTCCAACGGTTCTTGCCTACCTTACTGTCCATGTTCACGTTTCAAACTGTGTCAACAGAGCCCGCACTTCAGGGGTCAGCTGCTTGGCAGCCTTAGCCGCCTCTGTGATGGCCTTGCGGTATAGGCCCTTTCTCTTCTTATTAAAGCGTGACTGGAAGTTTTCTAAAAAGGGGGAGAGTTGCGAAAGAGCAAGAAAAGAGGTTGTTGGAGACCCAAACCACGAAATGCGGGCCTCCTGTCGGACTAAAAGGCCGTTATCTTTCCGGCTCACAGTTATAGTGAGAATACGGGCTGGCCACCAAGGGAAGCCATAGATCTTGGCCCAAACAATGTCCCCTACACATATGGTCCTGCCATCTGGTGTGACGCATTTAGAGACGTTTTTGGAAAAGACTTTCATTTTCAAGGAATTACTGAGCTTTTTCTCTTCCTTTGAAGAGGAGGAAGTGGAGGAGGTGGAAGGTGCATGCATACTGCCTGGAGGAAAATCAAAGCTTTCGGAAGAACTACACTCAGAGTTGGAGGATTTCAAATCATCTGTGCTATCAATGCTACACACTGAAGCACTGGAAGAGTCAGATTTCTTTTGATTTAGGGTCATGTAAACAGAGATATTGCTTTTGCTGCCCTTTTTGCCCAGTGTCTGTGGTTCATCCTGCTCACCAGGCACAAGCACTTCACTGGTGTCCTGAACCTCACTGCTGGCCTCTTCAGGGCCTTTTGAGGGACTCTGATTTTCTGAAGGGGCCTCACCTGCTGAGCGGGTAGAGGTGCAGCGAGACTGGGGCTTGGGTGCCATCTTGCCACTCCGCATTTTCTCAAGTCCTGTCTTCAAAGAAGAGTCATTTTCTTCATTCCTGTACCTTTGTGGTTTTAAACGAACCCGGGGTGGAAGGGAACCTGAGCTAGGACTCTGATAGCGACGTGTGAAATGGACCTTTGAATGTGCATTTTTGGATGTAGAGGTTTCACTTTGCTTCTTTTGTGCCTTTTCTTTGGCAATTTTCAACACTTCCCGAGCTTTTGCATGATCCATGTTCTTACTCTGGAGCACTTTTTTAGTACTTAACTGAGCTTTTGATGTATTTGCCTGAGCAGAAACTTTGACTACTCTGCCTCTGCTGTGAGCAATACTGGAAACCTTCACCACAGCATTTCTTTTCTGGCTTTCGTTTTGGTTTTTCCCATCCACTTTATGGTCAGTTTTCAGTTTTTTGTTCACAGTAGTTACACTTTCATTTTTCCGTTTTTTATCTTCATATTTAGAAGAGTCACTTGCACTACTACCTTTTCTAATTTCCTTTTTCTCCGCAACAACACTGTTTTTACATTTGTCACACAGGACTTGCCTGGGTCGCAGTTTAATAGCATTCATTATTGAAGTAGGTTCTTCCCTGTACATTTTTCGTTTGGGTCGCTTAATTTTCCGAGGTGGTGGCTGAGGTATTGACTGGTTATAGGTGTCCCTGATAAACAAAGGGGGAGGGTAAGGTGCTCCTTCATGGAAGAGAGGCGGTGGTTTGGAAGTCCACAGGCTTTCAGCCAAGCCCGGCTCGGGAGGCGAGATGGGAGAAGGGTCAGTGGGAACAGCACCATTCACTTCACGCTTGACTTCTGTCCCTTCTCGGAATGTATTACTTTGGAGCTGCATGGCTTCAGGTTTCTCCTTATATTCCCTTTTGGGAAACACCGTCACAGGGATCCCATGGGGCCCAAACCTTGGAAAGAAATCAAAGGAAAAAGACATTAACCCAATGTCTATGATTCAGTTTCTTACACTGAAACACCACCTAGTGTTTGTACGTATGACCTTTCCTGAACTCTATTTCATATTAAAAAATAAAAACAAAAACCTACTAACCACCTCCCCGCCAAAATCCCAAAGCCCTTCATTTTTTATTGGTCCTACATTTTAGGTATGAACAGATTATACATTTAGGCATAAACTCAAATGATTGTTCTAAGCATCAGAATAGCTGACATTTTTTTTTTAAGCTGACATTATTTAAAACAGACCTTTCAGTCTTAGATCAGAAAGGTGGATAGCTTAACATTATATGTCATTTGAGGTTACATTCGCTGGACTACGGACAAGTCCAGTAAATGCAACTATAAATATACAACATACACATCTCCCTCTGGTTATAAGAGCTTTCAAAAGCTTCACAAAACAAATTCAGCCTTAACTTTACCCAAAAACACTGAATCAGTACAATTCCACGTCAACTTCACTTCATCACTAAAGATTCAAAGACCAGCTGCTCCTTTACTCTTGCACCCTAACTCTTGAAGCCATTCATCTACCTCCTGCCCCCAAAACCCAAAAAATATATGAGTAATTCAGATGCCCAAATTACAACACAAGCAGATAGGTACACAGCTGTGGCTAACTTTTTAAAAAATACATCACACATTAAGAAATATTATGTATGTATACGTACATGCATATATAAATATATAAATACACACACTTAAGCCAAAGTTTCACTAAATGTTTAACCTTATATTATGTGATACATAATGGTATTTCCCCCTACTCTGGTCTATTTCACTTGTTTTAATGCTGGTCAGACTCATTACATGGATTTTAAAACTGGTCCAGACCCAGTTTGAAAAGCACTGGTAGAGAACACAAATCTTTACAATTCTCAGTTTCTAATAAAACAAGGGTCAACATAACCCTGTTTTTTATGTAGACTTAGAAATCACTGTGATTTAATCCTCCTAGGCTAAACATCTTAAAGCTAAACCTGCTACACTCCAATTCCTTCACATAAAAATAAAATCACACTACCAAATAATTTCATCATGTGCATGTTAACATGTTAATTGTAAAGCACTATTTGATGCTGTCTGAACAGCAGTGAACACAATTCTAAAGTCAATCCTTTCAGGTAGCAAGCATCCGCTTCAGATAGAACTCCTAAGATGCAAATGTCTTGCATGTCTGTTTTTCTAGAGAATGAGTCTTCGTTCTCATTCTCTAACATGTCCTTATGTCCCCAATATCTTTGTTGTGAAGAAATCTTGACATCATTTTCTTAGGGCTATAAACACACCTAAACTCATTCGGGGATGTAGTTAAGTGCCACCACCACCAGTTCTGTTTCTGATACCTAAATTATTTTCTCCCTGAAGTCTTCTGTTAGTATGGTGACCACAAACCAACAGCTTGTAAAACCACAAAGGAAGAGGAAAGCTTTTACCCAGGGTGCGACAGACTTGAATCTGGGCTAGTCCACAAAGATACCCTCTTCTCTACATCAGATTTACAAAGTGGCTTTCTATTCTAGCACAGCATCTGGTACTTAAATGTTTGCGTCCTATTTACTTGGCAAGGCAAGTTGAGCATTTAGCCTTTTCTTATATGAACGAGAGGTGATTTTTGGATTTTCACCTACAGCAACATAAAACAATGTAACTTATCTGAGGTGAGACCACTACTGATACATAGCAACCAAATTTCTAACCTTAAGAAGCTATCCTTTTGCCCCACTGCACTTTCACATGGTGTTTTCACAGCTGAGTAAAAAATGCCCATGCTCTTATTAGGCATAACTAAAACTATAATCATCCTAATGTCTGAGGTAGTTTCACAGATGTTCTTACCAACTTTCTATCCATGGTGTTACTAAACATCTCTAGATGCAGTTTTTGTTATGTGTAAAATAGGCTAACACTATTTCCTACCTTAAAGGATTCAGGTAAGGATTAAGAGGAAAATGTCAGCTATTTTCTTGACGAAACTTTACTTCATTTAATTAATCTGAATTTTTAGTAATTTTTTTAAGATTTTACTTATTTATGAGAGAGTGAGCACCCGCGTGCACAAGTAGGCTGAGAGGGAGGGAGAGAAAGCAGGCTCCCCGCTGAGCAGAGGTGGGGCAGGGGGGAGCCTCTAGATACCAGGACCCTGGGATCATGGACCTGAGCTGAAGGCAGACCCTTAACCAACTGAGCCACCCATGCGCCCCATCTGATCTTATTTTCAACTAATTTACTAGACTTTAGGATCATTTCTGTATCTTAATTTATACTCAAATTTATACTTAATGCTTAATTTATACTCACTTAAAGTGAAGATGATCTAGCCAATTATTTTAGAACTTTATACCAAATAAGCTGTAGAATCTATTATGTTTTCCCTCAGGGAGTTTAATAAAAACTTTAATTTCACTTCTGGGGGGTTTTATCCTTGCCTTTCCCTCTAAAGCATATAAAATACAAACATTAAATGGTTTTAAGTAACATAGGAAGGCACTTCACTGTGTAGTAATAAGGCACCAAAGCGGGGGAAAAAAGAAGCCAAGCTGGTAATTGTGGGTGGTACATAATTTGGCAAAAGTAGAAAAATATTTTTTTTAAAGATTTTATTTATTTATTTGACAGAGAGAGAGACACAGCCAGAGCAGGAACGCAAGCAGGGGGAGTGGGAGAGGGAGAAGCAGGCTTCTTGCTGAGCAGGGAGCCCGATGCGGGGGCTCGATCCCAGGACTCTGGGACCATGACCTGAGCAGAAGGCAGTCGCTTAACCAACTGAGCCACCCAGGCGCCCCAAAGTAGAAAAATATTTTTAAGTAATAATAAAACTTCCTCAAAGGATCACAAAGATTAAATCACCTTAGGAAGAAAAGAGATATCAATGTACTACTCCATTTCAGTAATCCTGCTCTCTCCCTAACATGGACAATACTTAGTATTATGACGGTGTTTCCAAACTAATGGTGAAGACGTTGGTTGTGAAATCAATTTCCAGGATCACAACTATGATTTAGATATTTAAAAACAAAGTCTAAATATATGTAACTGCAATGAAACTGTTTCATATGTGTATGTATATACACATCCACATGTAAAATACATTTGTAACTATGCTCAAAATTTTGAAAACCATCAATTTATGAAACTGTAACCTTGCTAAGAATATAAAGTAGCAACAAAACTACATCCTCTTCAGGCACCTGGCTGATTCAGTCAGTAGAGCATGTGACTCGATCTCAAAAGAGTGGTGAGTTCAAGCCCCACACTGGGTATGGAGCCTATTTAAAAAAAAAACAATGTTCTTAAAAATCCCAGAATCTAATTTCTCAAGTGTGTTCTCTAGAAATCTGCAACACTCTGTGGTGTTTGAAAATGAAGATTCCTAAGCCCTACCCCAAGACTGAATCATAAGACCCTCCCCTGGGTGGGGGGGAACGCAGGACTTTAATTTTTAGCGAACATTTTTGCTTTAGCTTTTTCTAAGGTGAAGGTATTTATGTCTCATGTGAATGCTCACCTCAGCAGAGGAGGATTTGAATCGTTCGAGAAGTGAAAGGCTGACTAGTATCCTTGCTTGAGCTTTTTCGAGAAGAACTTTTCACCAATTCTTTAAGACTTAAGCAATAAGACGCAAAGCATCTGTCCTCTTTTCTCCACTCCTTCTTCATGCAACAAGAAAGTTATTTATTGGGGCACCGGGGTGGCTCAGTTGCTAAGCGTCTGCCTCCGGATCAAGCCCCGCATCAGGCTCCCTGCTCAGCGGGGAGCCTGCTTCTCCCTCTCCCACTCCCCCTGCTTGTGTTCCCTCTCTTGCTGTCTAACAAATAAAATCTTAAGAAAAAAAAAAGGTATTTATTAGCGTATCAGTGACTCATCCTAACCCTTACCCATTTTCAGTATTCTTTAACCACTACCCAAAAATTCTAAAGGAAAAATATTCAGGTATTATGGCTTAATTAAAAATTTCTGGGGAGGGGCGCCTGGGTGGCTCAGTCGATAAGTGTCTGCCTTCGGCTCAGGTCATGATCCCAGTGTCCTGGGATCGAGTCCCACACCAGGCTCCCTGCTCAGCGGGAAGCCTGCTTCTCCCTCTCCCGCTCCTCCTGCTTGTGTTCCCTCTCTCGCTGTGTCTCTGTCAAATAAATAAAATCTTTAAAAAATAAATAAATAAATAAAATTTTCTGGGGGAGCCTGGCTGACTCAGTCAGTGAAGCATGTGACTCGATCTCAAGGTTGTGAGTTTGAGCCCCATGTTGGGTGCGGAGTTTACTTAAAAATAAAAAATTCTTTGGGGCGCCCAGGTGGCTGTCAGTTAAGCATCAGACTCTTGGGTTTCAGCTCAAGTCGTGATCTCACAGTTGTGCGTTTGAGCCTGTGTTGGGCTCCCCACTCAATGGAGAGTTTGCTTGAGATTCTCTCTCCCTCTGCCTCTGCCCCTCACCGCCCACTCCACTCGCTCGTGGGCTCCCTCTCAAAATTAAAAAAAAAAAAAAAAAATCAATGAATAAAAAAGAAAAAAAACCCTTAAAAAATATAAATATAGCTTCTGAGGAAAACCAGTGAAGTGTATCAGAGACCTCTGAACTATCTTTGCAAATTCCTGTGAATCTATAAAGTTTTAAAACTAGCCGCCTTCTTAGTAATTTAGGAGTAATGATAGTCAAAATTTTGAGAATACTGGGGCTTAATAGTTATTTTGTATCAAGGCAAGAGAAAGAGAAAAAGGATCCTCACCTAACGTAAAGGTGAAACAAATGTAATGAAGAGTATTTAATAAGCTAGAATTCAAAAAGTGACTTAGAGAAAGGGTAAGAATATTTTCTGGTATTTAGGTTCCATTCTAGAGGTCTGAATTTTACTGATGATTCTAGATTTGACTAAATGAAGCTTTTATTCACCCACTGATAAAATTATGGTATTTGCTTAAGATTTCTAGCATTACCAATCAATCCTATAC